CACAGTTGGCAGGCGGAGATCTCTTCCTGGGCATGCAAGCAGAGCATTACCCCTCACCCCACCCCCCTGCACCCAAACCTCAAACTGCACGATTGTAAGCCACCTATCCCTGCTACCTTCCTTGGTTGTGGTACTTATAAATCAATCCTTTTATAGATCAGAGATAAGGCTGCTTTATTGTTTTCTGCTGTAGAACAGCCCTGGGCAGTCAATCCGGCTTGTGAATTACTACTTCCACCGGACGTGACTCCAAGCAGGAGGGAAAGCTCCAATTAAGGCGGGAAGGAAGGTGTGAAAGAGGGACGGATGGATTCATCATGCTTGTTTAAATGTAAGATTGTAGAAAATTTAGGGAGGGTGTGTGTGTGTGTGAGAGAGAGAGAGACTGACTTTCATAAAACCATGAAAAAAGGATGTGACTGCAATGAGAGACGGCTCCAATTAAGGCGGGAAGGAAGGTGCGAGAGAGGGACCAGGTGGCTTCATCAAGCTTGTTTAAATGTAATGAGAGGAAATGGACATACTGAACTGAAGCAATTGATTGTTGAAAATGATTGTTGAAAATGTAGTGTGTGTGTGTGTGTGTGTGTGTGTGTGTGTGATAGAGAGAGAGAGAGAGAGAGAGAGAGATGACTCTTTCATAAAACCATGAAAGAAGGAACCTTCCCAATTTAATCTCCGCTGCATTTAGCTTTACAGTTTCTGCTGAGAAGAGCAAGTATTTCAAGATTCTGTTTAGAAGCTGAATTTGTACTAGGCAGAACTGGAATATTTAGAAGAGTCTTGCTAACAGCAAACACCTAGTAAAAGACAACTGACACACCTGGGACTAGATCTCTGAAGTGTGTAGCAATTGTGTTTATCTATTTCACATCCCCAAATCAGGCAAGAGTATCATAGTTTATTCCCCACAGGGGCTTTCTTTATTGAGTCAATCCACCTCATGTGCATTCTTCCTCTTTTCTTACTGCATTGCACTTTTTCCTGCATTGCTGCCTTTTCCAGCGAGCTTGTCTTCTCATGATGCCACTGTAGTACAATACCCTTTGTTTGGTTATTTTAATTTCTAGTGAGAGTCCACACTTAATTTGCTTTACTTATCTCTCTGACAAGTCATGCTATCTGTAAAACTCTTTTCCAAAACTACATTTCAAATAAGTGAAATGTAGTGTATAAAATGTATACAAAAAATATGTATTAAAAGTCTTTACTCCTATATATAGCTGCTTTTCTGAGGGTGGTTTACTTTGGAGTAAACAAGTCTAGGATTTCAATGTACTTAATAAGCTTTATAAATAGGGTGCATTTAATTCCATGTAGCATTCCGCACTTGACTTTTTTCTAAAAGAGCTATCAGTTGGAGGAATCAATAAAGAACCAGACAGACAAAATGTGTAAATGACATCAGGAGAGAAGAGCTAGTGAAACTGTTGTCTTTGCCTGGAAGAACACAAGGGAGAGATACAATGCTGTGATGGATACAAGACACAAAAGCAGAAAAAAATGGTTTCAGTTACTGGTGACGGGGCACCTTTCATGGTGGGGGTAACATCTAGTTTCATACAGTTCTTTGTTAAATAAGCAAAACATCCGGTCATTCAGTTTCATTGTATTATACATCAAGAAGCTCTTTGTGCCAGGGAAAGCAGCAATAAATTAGACAATATCTTGAGAGATATCACAAAAATGGTGAATTACATCATGGCTCACACTCTTAATTATCAACAGTTTCAAGCACTTCTCAATGAGGCTCAGGCACAGTATAATACTTTACTTATGTACAATAATGTCTGGTGTCTGAGCAGAGGATGATTCCTGGAGAGATTTGTAGCCTGCTTGGATGAAATTAGGCTGTTTATGACTGAAAAGGAGCAAGAATATCCACAGCTCACTGATATGGCCTGGCTTACCAACCTCAAGTCTTTTACAGATAGCACATTTCAATGTATTGAACAAAAAACTGCAAGGTTTAGGGAAAACAGCAGAAAGGATGTTTTGTGACATCAGAACATTTGAGAGAAAACTGCAGGTTTTTGAGAGAGACCTTGAAAGTGGGCAGCTGAAATATTTTGCAAATCTAAAAATGCATTTGGAAAATTCTACAATATTTACGGACAATCCTACAAGCCATCAGGAAATCTGCAAGGAATTTTCTAGCATTGTAGCAGCTGCAAAGGATAATTTTAGGAACAGATTTTTATAGTTCCGTAAGATGGAGACAACTCTGTGTTTTCTTACTTCTCCAGATAAAGCCAAATTTGAAGAACTTGATCTTTCCTGCTTACAGAGGTTAGATTTTGGAAATCTGGAAATGAAGCTATTGGAATTTCAAGAAAACTCTATCTGGAAAAATAAATTCTATGACCTCCATGCAACACTGGAGAAGGTAGAATGTGAAGGGATGACAAAAGACAGAACGGTTGGTAGTCCTGAAAATGAAATCCTTAAAGTGTGGGATTCTCTGCCAAATAATTGTAAGTAAATGAAAACACTTGGGATTGCTCTTCTTACTTCGTTTGGGTCATCTTATGCTTGTGAGGAGCTGTTTTCAATTTTGAATTACATCAAATCTGATACCAGAAACGGATTGACAGATGACATGAGTGCTGTATGTGTTGCTCTCAAACTAACAGCGTATGAGCCAAGGTTTGACAGATTATCAGCATGCATATAACATCAAAAATCACATTAATTGTGCAAAAGCATGCCAAGTTGAGCATCCCTTATCAAAAAACACATGCACATCATTATTTTAAAAGTTTATATAAATTAGCTGGCTTCACGCTATGTGTACAATGTATTACTTTAATATTGTTTTCCATTTACTAGAGTTAATGGTCATTTTTCAATAAAAAAGTGTTTGTATCATTGAAAGTTCTATTATGTTTTTCTTTGAAGAAAAAAGGTGTTGATTAGTTCAGACAACTGTATGAGTTGTTTTTTCTAAACTAAAACCTCAGTATTCAGATTTAATTGTAGTGTTGGCACTTCGAAAGAAATAATTTGGTTTTGTGTTGCTGTTTGGGAACTTGCCCTCAAAAAGGTTCGCCATCACCGCCCCATTGTCACTTGACCACCATTGCAGTGCACTGTGGGTTCTCCTCCATAGAGGGTAATGAAGCATGGAAATAGGAACAAATTGCCCAGACCAGTACATGGCCATCAAGGGCGTTTTGCCAACACAGTGATGTATCCACACTAACTTTTTTTTTAAAAAAAAAGGAAAGGGGGCGGAGAAAGGCACAAGAAAAGGATGGGAATATGTCCTTCTCGGGGGGGTGTAAACAAACATACCACATCTACTTCACCAAAAAACAAAACAAAACTAGAACAGTTAACATATGAACCCGTATCACAAGATATATGACATGTGACCACAACGTGCAGGAAACAGAAGATGTGAGAAAGAACTGGGACATTTCTCTAGTGTGACCATGGCTTCACTAAGCTATCCAACTAGCCTTAAGGAGGTTAGGGAGATTAGAGAGGCTATTATGAGTAGACAAATGGTTAATGGGGAAAGCCAGATTAATTCCTTCCCTTGTTTTCTTTCTCCCACTCTAAGACTATCCATCCTCAATTGCTTTTTCACCTGCCACTGGGGAAAAAAAAGGAGTTTCAACAGCATTATTTTGAACTGAAATCAGCAAAACTTGGAAATAATGTCTTAGAATTAACATGTTAGCATTAGGTTCATTACTTTGGGACCAACACCAGAAAACATCTATTTAGCATTCTAAAAATAAATGTTATAGAATGTTCTTCTCATGGAAAATGTTAATTTGTGCATTCCTTTTGGCACATGTCACTTCACTCTCCCATTTAAAAAAATGTTCCTATGTCTTCCTTTTCGAATGAATATCGGCTAGTCTAAGCTTTGCCTGATAATTTGAACTATAATACCAAGAAACCTTAGTTAGCATTGCCAAGATCATATGGTACTTCCTTGGGTTCATGGGAACTGTAGTTCAAGACCATCAACCAGTGCACGATTAAGAAAGATTGCCTTCTAAGGAGCAACTGATCATTCCCCATTTCCTTTCACTTACTTGATGCAATAAGGAGGTCTGACTAAAAGTATAGGATGAAGCAAAACTGGGTTCTTGCTACTCCATCTAAACTGGTTATTGAAGTTGTAGTGACCACTTCCTATTGCACCTAAATAGATTCAAAAGCACTGTTCACAACTGAAAAGAAATAATGGCTTCAATCTGCAATGGATAACATTTCAAAAATAATTTTATTGGAGCAAACCAAGTGTTAAAAAACACAGAATTCTACTTAACATATAGTTTGGATCTATATAAGCAATGTTAACACTAACTACCCTTTTCTACAGCCAACAGCCATGTTTCTTTACCACAAGTTCATTTAGAAATGAAGTACCGCAAAACTTAATAGTAATAGCTCAGATTTACTGATTTAGAATGAGAAAGATAGAAATGTAGAGTCTGAAAATTTATTGATTATGCCAGTACTAAATTCTATGCCTTGACTCTACCAAGGACCACACAGAAATTACAATAGATCACAAAAGAGTATTTTGGTCCTGACTCCTTTCCCCCTAACTAATGAGACAAAATGGGGAAGGAAACCTAGATACTCACTTAGTCACTATCTTTTTTCCTGCAATAATCAGGAAATTCAGCCAATAGTTTGAATTTAAAAACTGCATCACAATTAGAAGACTACAAGTGAAGGCATTACTTTCTAATGCTTCTTGACATGCCATACAACAATCCTTTACTTTCCTATAGTCTTTTTTTTCAGTTTTGAAAGAGAAATAAAGAACTGGATTAAAAATAAATAAGAAACAATTGTTCCATTTGCACAATCTCAGTTCCTTTTTTATTTTTTATTTATTTATATTTTTTATCATGTCTTCTGAATTTTAAATCACAGCGAGATAGATTGGCTCCCTGTTTTTTGTCTTTATAATTTATTCTGAGCCTTTTTCAGCTGAAAAGAATAAAATGCTTCAAATAAACAAAATATAATACCTGGGTGCGATTGAAAGCCACTCTTGCAAAGACAGCTTGGGACACACTGGCTCTCTTCAACTCATCCCTGACTTGCTGGTAGATATCTGGTGAGACTTCCACTGATGAGTTTGTTGGCTCTGGTTTGACTGATCTAGGAATCGGCGGATGATTTAGAAACTGTTGGTTTATAGCCTGTGGGTGTTGATGAGCCAATAGTCGGCTTACTGCAATCTGTTGGTTTATCAAGTGGGCCATTGCTATCTGCTGCCTCACAAGCTGTGGACTGAGTTGAGGTGTAAGAAGGCCAGGGCTCATGATCGGTTGCAAAGTTGGCACTTGGTTTCTGATTGGAGTACCATGATGAATTTGACCATGAGGTGACTGTTCGTTTGTTTTGCCCAAAGTTGCTAGCTGGTTGATGTTTGGTAAGTGCATGGGACGTTGACCAAGAACACAATATTCTGACAGGTTGTCTCTTTCAACTCGTTCCACTGTTAAATAAATAAAATAATGTAAATATTCGCAATTTGAATACTGCAGGATTTTAAATTACAGAGAAGTAACTGACAGTGCTTTCAACTATAGTGCCATTTGTCTTCATTGAATTAAAATCAGTAATATCTACCCTAAGTAAATCTTATAAGCAGTACAGGATCTATGAAAAATTTAAAAGCTGTAAAATGTTATAACATGCAGTAGAAGAGTCAGATGTTGTCTATTATGTTATTGTCATGATGATGATGATGATGATGATGATGATGATGATGATTTTATTTATTTATTTATTTATTGGATTTATATACCGCCCCATAGCGCTACAAGCACTCTCCGGGCGGTTTACAATTTTAATTATAAAGGTGATGATGATGATGATGATGATTTTGCTTTTCTTTTCTTTTATCTTATCTTTCTAAGTTAACAGTTGAGTCATCAAATGCTTTCTCCAGACCTAATATAAACTGTATGAAACAAGGCAGTTACACAGCTACAGTAGGAACATACAGTACATGCAATGGCCCCAAACAGGGCTCTAATATATATCTTCTGCTTATTAACAAAACAACTATAAAATCTCAAACACCTAATACTTTTTTATTTCAAAAAATAATGAAGCAACAAGATTATGCCCACATTTATACAGCTGTAAATAAAATAAAAAGATTGCCCCAATATAAGGCCTGGCTCATTTTATTTTTGCTAATTAGCATAAAAGATTTTTAAGGTACCTAAATCTGTTAATTAAGGCAACCCGAATACTTTGCAAAACCAAATATATCTGCAAAACCAAAAATGTATTTCTGGGTTGAAGCTATTCTTGCCAAGTTTCCACACAGGCCCAGTTTTTGAGGTAAACTACATACTCCTGTAAAATAAAGTTTTAAAATGGAAATGCTGTTAGGCCATTAAACCTTCCATTGCTAACCAATAACATACACACTGTCCGGCTAGTTCACAGTACAATGAATTTTCCTTATTATCAAGACTTTTTCTGCATCACCACACATTTTAAGCCCCCCCCCCACTATAACAACTGTCTTGCATAGAAAATGTCATTACCCTTTTTTTTTTTCCAGGCTGCAGGCAAACTTATGTCACTTTCCAATAATGCTACCCATATGATATTCTACATTGTTATTAGTGGATGTAGTTAAGCCATTGGATTTTGGACAGTCCACCCATCTATGTTAACAAGGTTTAATAGAAACACATTATGTACAAAGGGTTAGATTGCCTTTACAGCATCTTTGTTTTTATATTTTACCAAAGAAACAATTAGTACTCTGATCAGTTAGATAAACAGATTAGTACACTTCTCCCTTAAATTGCACGGGTTCAAGCAGTGTGGTTTTGGTTATACACAATTTTTTTGGAGGCCTTTGATGGGCTCTCCTGCTTGGGGGCAGTGATGAGGAGGCAGAGGTCTGGGCAGTTCAGCAAGGGCCGGAGCCACCCACCTTCAGCCTCACTCACTCTCCTGTCTTGTTCTTTATTTTTAACCATTAGCTCAGATCAGTTTAACTCCCATTGCAAAAGAAGAGGCTGGTGAAAAAGAACGAGGCAGATCTCCAGCTGCAAGGAGGAGGCGGAAAAAGAAAAAGCTTGGGATACCACCAGCAGAGAGATTACTGCATGCATGAAGTGGCCACCACCAATGCCAACTAGGCTGCAAATGTTTGCCTCCTCTTCTCCCCTTTGTCCCACAGCTGCTGACCCACAAGAAGGCAGACAGCAACCTCTGGCTTCTCCTTTCCCACTCCTTGGAATGATCCATTAGTCAGAGCTCAGCCTCCCTACTGCTGCTGCAGTGGCGGTGACACAGCTTGGCTTTGCCCAACAAGACACCCCCAAGCCGGAACTAGCTTTTGCCAAAGCTGGTATGCTTTGTTGTTAACATTGGGGGGGGGGAAGGCTATAAGAGTTATACACAAATTTTGAACTACACAGGGGTCCGGCATCCCAAACCCCAGTGTTGTTGAAGAGAGAAGTGTATGTAACAGAATGTACTAAGATGCAAATTCTATAGTATACTGGTATAAAGAGGCGATGCTTTAAGTTTTGTCTAGGCTTTCGAAGAGCTGATGTCATACACCCAACGTCATAGAAGCAGAGTTTACAAATTCACAGTACTTCAAGGAGACAGTACTGTCATTATGTACTCCAGTTGATGCACTGTTACACAGGCTATGCGGTCACTAGTCTCAACTTTGCAGAACCACTGTTGAGACTGGGAGGTGATTTTAATATTGTACTTTATATAAGAATTATAATTATTGTAACTACTTATTTCTTTTAATCACAACCTACCTAACACAATTATGAGAAAGAACATAATTTTTGGAAATCTTATTTCCAGTCAATATTTAACTTTATATTTACTCCTATAATACATCACTGCTCTTTACTGTATTTTGTCAGGCAAAGGAAGCAACATTTGCACATCTGTGATTTATGAAGCCAAAAGGGCAGTTTTTACCATACCATAACATTTGGAAACCATTGGACTGAAATGGCTCCTGGAGTGATTACTAGAGAGAGAGTGAAATTTGCAAATATGTCAGCCCCTCAATGATGCTTACTAATAAACCAACTAACCTTACTATCCAAAACTCAATCACAAAATCACAGGAACTCTACAGTCACTCTAGAATCTTCCTGTGGGTGCAAAATGATTTAAAAAAAAACTACATTACTCTGAGAAACCTTTGATTATCAAAATGTTAAGAATTTGGCCAAAATCCTCTTGTGTGACTTACAATGGAGCTGAGGAAATGACATCCTAGCTACTTAAAGTCCCTGACTTGGTTCTTGATGTGTACAATGGAGCTGAGGAAATGACATCCTAGCTACTTAAAGTCCCTGACTTGGTTCTTGATGTGATTTCTCATTCCACCTGAGATAGCTACATACAAGACCTGGAACTGAAGCAGGGACTGAGGATGTGACTACACAGTGAGAAAAATGTAAACTAACCTGTTGTGAAGTCACACCAGGAAATCTGGGTTTGCCTGGGTCTGTTAACATTAACTGGCCACACAAGGAGGAAATTAGTTAAACAGCCTTGTTTGCAGCTTGTTAACACAGCTTTCCTGTAGCCCTGAAGGAAGTGTGGTTATAGAACTACTTTAACAAGGTACAAAAAGCCTGTTTACTCAATTTGCTCTTCTTCTCTATTTCTCTTTTTTAGTGTCTAAGTTAGCACAACAGTGCTGGCAACAAGATATTTTTAAAATAAAGAAATAGCATTATTTGCAAAGAACTTGCCTTTGCTCCTGCTGCCACGCCATCAGGCCAATCCCAGCACACTTGTATGCATCACTCCAGGTGATCACACTGTCTAGACCACTGGTTCTTAACCTTGGGTTATTCAGATGTTTTTGGACTGCAATTCCCAGAAGCCTTCACCACCAGCTATGCTGGCTGGGGTTTCTGGGAGTTGCAGTTCAAAAACACCTGAGTAACAAAGGTTAAGAACCACTGGTCTAGACTGATTCAAATTGATTCACTGTGGGAAAAAGTAGAAGCTCCAGCAGTAGAGGGAAAAACTAGGGATTGGGGAGAGAAGATTCCAGATTGATTTGCATTTACTTTTATATCATGTGGTCAATGAAAAAAAAATGCAAATAAGACGGTCCCAATCTTGTAGCATTTTCTACATTTTTGTCAGTATAGTCATAGCCTGAGAGTACACACTTGGATTCCAGGTTCTGTGTGCCAGATAACTCACATGCAATAAGGAACTGCATGAGAAAGACCTCCTAATAAGCAGCAATCTGCCACTGTGGTGGTACAAATGTGGTATACACCAGGGGTCGTCAACCTCCAGTCCGCGGCCCATTGCCGGTCCGTGGCTTGAGCCCGACTGGGCCGCGAAGGCAGAACTCCCACCCCCCCCCGCACTCCCCTCCCCTCAGCTGCTTTGCACGCTCATGTGTCAGCGCCAGCGTGAGCCTTCCTCACTCCTTCAAGCAAGCCCCTGAGTCCGCAAGGCAGGTGTGGGGAGGGGAGTGCTTGCAGGGGGGATGGGAGGTCTGCCTTTGTGGCCCGGTGGCAGCGGTGACTGGGGTGGGGGAGAGCCGGGAGACAGGGCAAGAACCAGCTGCTCTCCTCCCGGCAGCAGCTGTGGGAGGGGTGGTGGTAGAGAAAGGCCGGGAGGAAGAGAAAGGCCTGGGCGCACTCCTCCCGGCGGTGGTGATGGGGTGGGGGGGGGGAGAAAGGCCGGGAGGAAGAGGAAGGCCCGGGCACCCTCCTCCCGGTAGTGGTGATGGGGTGGGGGGTGGAGAAAGGCCGGGAGGAAGAGAAAGGCCTGGGCGCACTCCTCCCGGCGGTGGTGATGGGGTGGGGGGGTGGAGAAAGGCCGGGAGGAAGAGGAAGGCCTGGGTGCCCTCCTCCCAGCAGTGGCAGCGGCGACAGGGATGGGGGAGAGCCGGGAGGCAGGGCAAGGGTCGGGTGTTTTGGTGGCTCTCCTCCCGGCAGCAGTGGCGGCAATGGGGGTGGGGGAGTAGGCAAGAGCCGGGTGAAATTAAAAAGACTCCCAGGCTTCCACCACCGCCACGGGTGGGCAGGTGCTCCTGTGCACGTGCGAAGTAGTGAGGGAACACGTGCGTGCATCAGAGAGGGCAAGCGTGAAGGGCCGCCCCACCTCCGTCAGAGACTCTGCCGGGCTGGACTAGTAAAAAGGTTGGGGAACTCTGGTATATACCACATTTCCACTACAGTCATGCAAGAGGATTTTAGCCTTTAAATAATTTGTTACAGCTTAAGACCTGCTTTTTCTTTCTGAAGTTGCACATACTCCTTAACACATTACGTGCTGTATTATGGGTTAAACTGGTGGACAATGAAGAACAGGAAATCCCAAACATAAAAGAAAAATAGCAGACATACCAAGGAATCTATACCCCATGCTGCCATCAATTAGCTTTGTTAACTCAGCCCAGTGAAAAATGGCATTGCAGAGTACGTATTTCAGAAAATTTTCCACATATATTTCAGGCAAAACACTTTCAAAAATGAATAAAGCACTATGGACATAAAAACACGTTACTGCAGGAAATTCAAGGAAAACCAATGAGGTTCAAATAAACAGACACTGGAGGCATCAAATCAGGGTGGAGGGAGATACTGCTGTATCAGCTGTATTCTGGACTGCCAAATAATGAGATCTTTCATTTACAGAGTGTACTGGGCCATCCACTAAAACCAAACAACATTTAGCTTTCTTATTGGATACGCTTACTACAAAATTCTAGGAGAGGACTTTGATGGGCAAACTATGCTGGGAACGGGACAGAGAAGTGCATTCCCTTGGTTCTGCTGGACCTTTGGTGCTTTCAATAGCTCTGACCATAGTATATTTCTGGTTGGTCTTGGAGGTCAGAGTCTACTAGCAAGTCAGGATAAAGTAAATACTGTAAGTCACAGAGTCAAACTGCCATTCATTAATAGGGTGCTGGTTGCATTATTGGGTGACTGATCACCGACCTAGGAAGGCAACCAGCATCTTGTTAATGAATTGCAGTTTGCTGCCATGACAGAAGTATAAATCACCAATAGGATTTTGACCAATAGTGTTTGGTGACTCCTTTCCTTCCTTCTTGAATGGGGAACATTCCCCTATAGCAACAGCCTTACTGGCTGTTGACCAGTTTCTGGACACAATTCAAAGTGCCAGTTGTGACTTATAAAGCCCTAGACTTTTAAGAAGCTAGAAGGGAGAGGATATGTTTCTATCCCATTTGCACCACCATCAAGCATGCCTAGTGGTGATGCAAAACAAAAACAAAAAGGCAGAGATCTTTTTCAGACAGATCTTATTCATTTGGCAATGACACTAGTAGCTAGTATAGGGATGGAGGGGACTGTTGTTTCTTTACATTATTTTAACTGTGCTTTTAAACTATGCTAAATATTTTAATTGTATTTGTTATTATTTTTACTTGGGTTTTTATTTTTAGTATTGACAGTGCCTTTTTAGTAGAAAGATGGGATAGAAATGAAATAAGTAAGTACATTTTATAAAGAACAAGAAACTGGGGCAAATACTTTATTCTTCCCTGCACTGAAAAGAAAAACCAATGTTAACATGTGACTGTCAATTAACATTTAATCTTTAAAGCACATAAAGCTTCTCTACAGTGGCAAGGCATAGAAAATATTCACTTGTTTCTAATTAACCTGTTCAATTGAAGTTCATGTACAATGACACCATGTACATTTAGCTCTTCAATTGTCCATTAAAACTGTTTAAAACACTGTGTTGTGAAGAAAGCTACTATCTCATTCATATATTGAAGCTCAGAAACATTAATGTGTGTTTAAAAATCATATATTTTGTTAAAAAATTGTCTATCCTCTTTTGTCATAGAAAATAGATGTACATCGGTATTATACCAGCAAGACAAGAATGGAATCTCCCAAACAAGTTACATCCAAAGCCTGTTAACCGTAGACTAAACATATCTTAATATCAGGAGTTTCAGTGGATTTGTGCTAAAATTGCGCTATAATGCAAGTGAATAAACTACATGGGCAAGAATACACATTCAATTCTTTCTATAAGTGCTGTTGCACATAAACAAACAACAAAAGAGATACCCAGTTTTCCAACAGAAGCAGCATTAGCAAGGACCTAAAACTGGTAGGTGCTAAGCATCATGGGGAATCCCAAGCCGGAATGAAGATTGCTGGAAGAAATATCAACAACCTCCGATATGCAGATGATACCACTCTGATGGCAGAAAGTGAGGAGGAATTAAAGAACCTTGTAATAAGGTGAAAGAGGAGAGTGCAAAAAAAAGTCTGAAACTCAACATCAAAAAAATGGCCACTGGTCCCATCACCTCCTGGCAAATAGAAGGGGAAGATATGAAGGCAGTGACAGATTTTACTTTCTTGGGCTCCAAGATCACTGCAGATGGAGACAGCAGCCCCGAAATTAAAAGACGCCTGCTTCTTGGGAGGAAAGCGATGACAAACCTTGACAGCATCTTAAAAAGCAGAGACATCACCTTGCCAACAAAAGTCCGAATAGTCAAAGTTATGGTTTTGCCTGTAGTGATGTATGGAAGTGAGAGCTGGACCATAAAGAAAGCTGACCTCTGAAGAATTGATGCCTTTGAATTGTGGTGCTGGAGGAGGCTCTTGAGAGTCCCCTGGACTGCAAGGAGAACAAACCTATCAATTCTAAAGGAAATCAAGCCTGAGTGCTCACTGGAAGGACAGATCCTGAAGCTGAGGCTCCAATACTTTGGCCATCTCATGAGAAGAGAAGACTCCTTGGAAAAGACCTTGATGTTAGGAAAGTGTAGGGCCTGGCGTGCTCTGGTCCATGGGGTCATGAAGAGTTGGACACGACTAAACGACTAAACGATGACGACGAAGCATCATGAACATCATTATACTGTACTTCCGAGAAAGTTTAAAATATAAAATGTAAAGATAATACCTCATTAGAGATGTAAAGTTAATGGAGGTTTGCTACTAGAAAGAGAAGATGAAGAGCAAGAAGAGTAAGGGAAGAAGTAATTCCAACACCATCTAAGTCCTAACTAGAACAGATCGAATGAATCAACTGCTGAATGATGAGTCATCACTTACACAAATACTGTTTGATGGGACAGATCTACAAATTTAGCCCATGGCTTTGCTCATATCAATTTTAATTGATGATTACACACCAAAAATTTTAGAAACTTATATAACAATGCATAGATCAACCTACAATATATATGGGAAAACTGAAAATCACTTCAACCTTAGTTGTGCTGCACATAGAATGGGTTCCATGAACTATGTACTGAGCATGTTTATTCCAAGTTCTCCTTCCATACAGCTTTTACATCTGTTGCTAATGATATCAAATTATTGATTGTTCATTTTCTTATATTTGTTTAAATGTTAAGTATATGCTCTGCAACCTAATGCTTTCCTTCTTCCAGAGGGTTTTAAATTTTTTTTGCTGTGCATTAGTCATATTTACTTTGATCTTCCAGTATGTATAATTATTTTACTGTTTGTTTATTTCAACAGAGTGGGAGGAGAAAAGATTGACCAAAGAGATCTGTATGTGGCAACTTGTAACAGAATCACATAGCTTATGTTTAGGAAATCCTGGTTTTGATTAAGAAGGAACCAGTTAGTTCCCACTGCTTTATTAAAAGAGACATTAGTGGATAAATAGAAAACACATTTCACACAGCAGATTATGTTCAACAGCAATGCCAATAAAAGAATTTTGAAATCTTCTTCTATTTTTCATTTGAAATAGTACATGAGGATTTCTTTTTATTTTCAATTCTATTTCAAATGGCCAAAGTTTAGATAAATGCATTAGGTATACTATGACATCAATGACTGCCTCAACCAAATTGGCCCTGAATCTTGTCAAAATTCACAAACTCTCAACCCTTTTTTCAAACAACTTGAACAAATGCACTGTGAGTGAAGTTTACAGCAATCACTGATCTCACATATGAAATAAATTCTCATTTACAAACATCAGGGTATAAAGTGGAAATGAAAATCATAAGAAACTGAGAAGATGTGAAATAAAAAATACCAAAATCATCCATTTGTGATGGTTTTATATGATGACAGAGAAGTTCTGCATCTGTTTATTTTAATGCAAAACTATGCCTGTGATGGAGTTTTTCAATTGTTTCTCTCCCACTTGTTGAGCTGATAAATCAACAGTACTTGAACCATTTTACAGCAGCTTGTGTTTATTTCACAAATATCTTAACCTTACCTGCCTTCTTAAGTGTGCATGTGCACACAAACATACTTGCAAGCAACTATAAACAGGCTGAATAAATTTATAGTATATGTAGTCATCCAGAAAACTCTTCAGGCTTAGATCCTTGACCTCTTCATTGAAATTAAGGTCTCATTCTACTTTTACTGCACTCAACAATTTAACTGTACATATACAAACTAAAAAGAGGTGGGAGAAAGTTTTAAAAACTGAATGCTAAGAAAAGAAGAAAATGGAAGCCTATAATATGCTAGAAATACTTGATGGTTGCAATGTCATCTCTGAGAACATCCAGAAAGGGGTTGTACTACATTTGAAGGTGCTCTTACTGCACTGCCAACACAACAGGAAAACCATTCCTTTCCCTTTTTTAACAAGTAGGAATGATCCCTGAAATGGTCTTGAAGCTCTGTGGTCCCTTTTATTCTTTTAAAGCAAAGTGCATATATAACACTTTCAAATATTCCTTTTTCTACCATGAGATGCAACACTTTAGAAAAAAACAGTTCAAGTTCACACACCAGCTGCTTAAACTAAAGAAGATCATTCTTCTGGAAAAATATTGAGGATGCTATATGAAAACTACTTATTATTCTAAAATGTTCAAGTCTTTACAGTCTTTTAAGAATAAAGAGTTTCAAGCATTCATAATATATTTGGGAGCTCTGCAATGGATGATTAGTTTAATCAGTTTACCTTTAATCTTCTTGTACTTTTTATACCATCTTCCAAACTCCTGGCACTTGGTTGCTGATACATTGGCATAGTATGTGCTATTTACAATGGATGATATCATGCTCTATAATGAGAAAGACAGAAAATATTCAAAAAGTATACTGTCAAAAATTCTTTATAAAAAGTAACATGTAAGAGCAGATTAATAAACTGTTCATTTTGATCCATTTTATTAAAAAAGGTATACCAACAAGCTCCTTAGAATTTTTCAAAATTGGCTTTATCTCTCATTTTTGATCATCACACATGATCACTTGGATTACTGCTTACAAGAAAAAGACTTCTGTCTCCAGCTTGCACTCTCTTGTCACTTTAATTTATGTTAGGTACTATCAAAAGAATCCCCTTACTAGAAGTGTAATAGAAGCAGTGTCACATTAGGGAATATAAGGGGTGAGAAGAATTGTGATTTAAGAACCAGATTGTAAAGGTAAGATTAGATGCTTCAGCATGCATAATCCAAATAATGCTTTTCAGATGTTTCTGTTCTGCTTCCAACTGTAACAAGGACCACACAGCCAAGAATCTGGGAACATTTGTGCTACTTGTTGCAGAACAATAGTTAGGCAAATACGTTAAATTAATATAATTTATAAAAACGTGTTGTTAATCCTTGTGTAAAAATCCACATGGGAGACAAATTACAGTGCTACTCTGGCTTGCTGAAACTAAAAATATCAGACAACTAAAATATTAGACAAAATATCAAACAAACATGTGGATCTGGGGAAAAATACTTAAACACTTCAAAATTATTATGGATTACTAGAAACAGACATTAGATGCCAAAAAGTTTTTACTACCTGACAGAAACATGCTTCCTCGAGTAGTACTACACAAGTTATTTGTTTGTTTGTTTGTTTACCACCTCATTAGTGTACAGCACTATGTGGACAGTGTACATATAAAAAAATTAAGTCCCAACAAAAAAAGAAACCAAAATTAAAAACCTAATGGTGCTAAGAAACAGAGTGGTTTTATAGGGGCGAATAACATCAACAAATGCCTCATGAAAAAGATTTCAAGTTGCAACTTGAGATGATAGATTTTTGTCACTTACTGACACCTCCTTAATATTACAGATGTTGACATTTTGGAGTGGCCCTAAACATGCCTTTGGACATCTGGGGGCAGTTTAAAAAACATTGCAGCAACTATGGGTTGCACTCACACAGGAAGGTTGTAGAAGTTTTGCTACATACAGGTTTGGCTCACCCTCTCATTTTTCGTAGCCAAGTTTATGATCTCAAACCATTGCAAGGTATCAGTAAGGGAGAAAGAACAGAGCTGTAAGTTAACTGTACAGCTACAAGCAAAAGCTTAAGTAGCTGGGCAGACACTCTTGGACAAAGGCATAAGGCCAGTGTAAGGCTGCGGTCACAGTGGCAATAGGAACCATATTTAAGTGTCATTTAAATTGATTTAGATTTTGTCATTCATTGCCAACAGTTTAAATACCACATAACATGAATCTGATTTTTTAAAAGTCTGAACAGAAATCAATTCAAATTACCAGTGTCATCACAGCCCAATTGCTCTTAATTTGAACAGATTTTTGCGGGTAAGAATATTTTAAGTTGTCCATATTCCCATTCTTCAATTATGGGTAGCTTAATTTGGATTCTAAACAAATTAGATAGCATCTTCTTTATTTTATATTACTCACTATAGTATATGTTTTTGCATATTATGCAATTTAACCTCATTCTCTGTTGCATTATTTTTTCACTATGCTTTAGTTTTGGTGTCATTTGTACAGTAACCAATGATCTGAGAAAATGTGTATAGTATGACTGGGATACTGAACACAGAGAGCTCAAATCTTTGTTTAGGCATAACAATTACCTGGTGTCCTTCAGCCAAAAAGTACTTCTTACCTAAACATAACTTGCATACTTGTTCTCAGGATAAAATTGAGAGAACAAAACCATGTAAAGAAGTCATGTCAATTGTCAGTGCATGTAAACTAGAAATAATGATATTTTGCAAAGCACAACAGCTTCTGGTGATATTCTCACAACATGGATGTTGTTTTACCGATGGCTTTCCCCTACCCGAACAGATCCTTAAGAATACCATAGGAATCCCCCATGAATAACACACTGTCCTCTCATTTGCAGAGGAAAATCCTGGAGATACTAACAAGTGACAGAAATCAGAGGAAGAAAAATGGTGTGAATCCTATTCAGAGATAGTGACTGAAAATTGTAATACAACCAGAAAACATACTAGCTTAATTTTCTCTGCCATATTCGATTTTTCTCGGTCCTCCCTTCCTCCCTCCCATCTTTTTCTCTCTCAAAGTAAGTCAAAACAAGGATCAATCCCGTTTGACATATTTTCTTCCATTGTTCAGTATAACTCTTTACAAAGTTCCCATCAGTTGTTGTTTTGTTTTATTGTTATATGCTGTATTATTGTTGAAGCTTGACTTTCCAAAAGCTGAACAAGACAGTTCAGGACAGGATATTTTGGAGATCATTCATTCATAAGGTTGCCATGAGTTGGAGGTGATTTGACACCACATAAAAACAATATTACTGCAGAAAATGATCATAGAACAGCTTGGATATTTTACATTTTGGACTTTGCCATCTAGAACCCTCAACCAGAAGAGTCAGTTATCATATTGCAAAGAAGACTCTGAGAGCTGTGGTCCAAGAAATTAGCTTTGCTACTTTGCGTCCTAGTAACTACAAATTCATCAATTTCTTATGGACATTTTTGCAGGTAGCTCTACAGTTTTCAGCAGTCTGCAAAATGGGAAAGGAGTACGACAAGGCTGTATATTGTCCCCGGCTTATTTAACTTATATGCAGAATACATCATGCGGAAGGCTGGATTGGAGGAATCCCAAGCCGGAATCAAGATTGCCGGAAAAAATATCAACAGCCTCCGATATGCAGATGAGACCACTCTGATGGCAGAAAGTGAGGAGGAATTAAAGAACCTCGTAATGAGGGTGAAAGAGGAGAGTGCAAAAAACGCCCTGAAACTCAACATCAAAAAAACTAAGATCATGGCCACTGGTCCCATCACCTCCTGGCAAATAGAAGGGGAAGATATGGAGGCAGTGAAAGATTTTACTTTCTTGGGCTCCATGATCACTGCAGATGGAGACAGCAGCCACGAAATTAAAAGACGCCTGCTTTTTGGGAGGAAAGCGATGGCAAACCTTGACAGCATCTTAAAGAGCAGAGACATCACCTTGCCAACAAAAGTCCAAATAGTCAAAGCTATGGTTTTTCCTGTTGTGACGTATGGAAGTGAGAGCTGGACCATAAAGAAAGCAGACCGCGGAAGAATTGATGCCTTTGAATCGTGGTGCTGGAGGAGGCTCTTGAGAGTCCCCTGGACTGCAAGGAGAACAAACCTATCAATTCTAAAGGAAATCAAGCCTGAGTGCTCACTGGAAGGACAGATCCTGAAGCTGAGGCTCCAGTACTTTGGCCATCTCATGAGAAGAGAAGACTCCTTGGAAAAGACCTTGATGTTAGGAAAGTGTGACGGCAAGAGGAGAAGGGGGCGACAGAGGATGAGATGGCTGGACAGTGTCATTGAAGCAACCAACATGAAATTGACACAACTATGGGAGGCAGTGGAGGATAGGAGGGCCTGGCGTGCTCTGGCTCATGGGGTCACGAAGAGTCGGACATGACTAAACGAGCGAAACAAACAAACGATGGACATTCACTGTGGTGTAAGATCCATTTAACATATTAGGACATGTATCTGACCAAGCAGTTTGAAAAGACGTACAAATGAGGTAGACCTAGTTCTTTGAGAAGGACTTCCTTATTACTACTTCAAACCTCTTTTCAGAAATTTTTCAAAGCAACAATGACTTCAAAAAAATTAACGGCAGGAACAAACAGATGCTTCTAATAATTTATTATAAGCTCACACAGTCTCCTAGCCAGCATTCATTCTTATCTCTTCATCTCTTTCTATAAACTTTTTAAAGGTAGCTCTGCAGTTTTCAGCAGTCTGCAAACTAGCTAGGCTGATGCTTCCACATAATTGCAACATTTACCTATGAGAAAATAAGTCTTTTCTTCACACATCTGTAAAATTCTAACAAACGTTTGATTGTCAGAATTGGCTAATCACAGTAAAAGGTTTGTTCCTAAAAACAAACAATGCAATGGGCCAAAACAAGCAATACATAGATTGACTTGTATCTCCAGTTACAGAAGCTCTTAAAACATATTGTACTTTTTTTCTTAAAATAAAAACTTGGAATCATGACCAGCCAATAGACAGCAGGTCGCATTCCTAAAATTTGGTTAAAACCTGGCTAGCTGAGTAATATAGCTGTGTTACAAATGATGCTCACAGTTGTCTGAAGGCATTGCAGAAAACTGAAAAGGTTCAGGAAAAATATCCACACTTTATCTGGCACCAACAAGACTAGAAGATAAAACTCACAAGGTCAAATCCTCCTTTTTTTCTTCATGATATCAGGAGAAAAGGTAAAGGTAAAGGTTCCCCTTGACAAATTTTGTCCAGTCATGTTCGACTCTAGGGGGCGGTGCTCATCCCCGTTTCCAAGCCATAAAGCCAGCGTTTGTCCGAAGACAATCTCCCGTGGTCACATGGCCAGTGCGACTTAGACATGGAACGCTGTTACCTTCCCACCGAGGTGGTCCCTATTTATCTACTTGCATTTGCAATCAGGAGAAAGCTTGGAATATTTATTGTGACTTTGAGTTTGCTGAAGGAAAGAACATGAAATTGAAAATAATACTCTGTAAACTTGAAGAGTACTGCATGCCCAAAAAGAATTAAACTTCTGAAAGAAATATATATTCTACATGCAAGAAAAAGCGTATTAAACTATGGATCAATATGTAACTGCATGATGATGCCTGAGCTAGAATTGTGGGTTTGGTGACTTGAAAGAGTCTGTAATAAAGGACAGAAGTGTCCATGGTATTTGAAATGATGCCCTCAGAGAATATCTGTCTCATGAACTGGTCTCTGAATAAAGCTTGAAAGATTTGCAGGGCCTCAGAAACTGTGAAACGGCATGCCAAATACCTCAATTCAGCAGAATGAAGGAAC